TTCTGAGAGCTACCAATCATAGCAATAATTCCAATTTAAAAAATAAATAAATAAATCCCTGTTTTAATTTTCAAACAAACAACACAGTGCAAAAGGCAGGGCGGGCAGTAATGCATCGCTTTCCAAACCCAGTGTCGTTGCAGAAAATGCAGAACACGCCGGGGGTGGGGGTTGGTGGCCTTTGCTGTGCAAAGCCCCCCCCGCCTGAAGCACGGAGGCCGTAAACTGCATTAAATGGGAGAGAGCATCAGTGTCACATAGGACGTTTGACTGCTAACACTGGAGTGACTGGGGCTCTCCATTGCCCATTTGTAAATAAAGATTTTATTAAGATCTCTCCACAACACTGAGAACTTGGAAGAGACACCAGAAAAAGTCAGGATTGTAAATCATGGTTGCAGGGGGCGGGGTGGATGACCCAGGCTGCCCTCCGATGCTAATTTCCAACTTCTCACTCTGCAGCCGGGTGTCTAACTCACTGAGCTAGAAGTGGTACAAAATATGGAGGGCAGCGGAAAATGTTCATAGAATCACAGAAGACTGAAGTTGGAAGGGGCCTATAAGACCATGAAGTCCAACCCCCTGCTCCAAACGCCCCCAATGTCTGGGAATACAGTGCGATCCGATACTTGGACATTTTCCTTTTTTCTGATGAAACACAATCTCCATCTTGCAGATCAAATGGTCAGCAAGAACACTAACCATTACATCTGGCTGGATTTTGCTGGCTAGTAGAAGCAGGGAGTTGTAATGTACTGCAATTATTATTTTTTTTACTTTTTCTGTTCATATCTGCTCAGATGAACTGAAAAATTATACGCAGCAGATCTTAATCTATCGCAAACGAATGGAAGTTCCCCTACCACAACACTGTACAGTATGTGTGTGTGTGAGAGAGAATACTGATACCTTGCACACATACACACACACCCATGCAGTGCAAATACTATATATGCACCATCTTAAAATGGTACTCAGAGCTTGGAAATGTTACTTTCCCAGACTAAGACATCCCATCTTCCCCCTCTCCATGGTCTGATGGAGCCATTCTCTTTTTTAAAAAAATGAAAGAAAACCCAATGCTTCGTGCAAATTACAAAAAAGCAAAATGCAACATGAACTCAATTAGAGAACAAACAAAACTGAGCAGATCAGGAAAAAGCCCAGACAAGCAGAGTCAGCTGAGCATCTCCTGTATGTAGTTTCCCGGCAGATGGAGGTTGGGAGTGGAGGAGAGCCATGTCTCGTCTCTGTCTGCCTGTCACTCGTAGTTGAAAGCTAGTGGTCAAGGATAAACGCATGGATGGATGGATGGATGGATAGAAGTCCACCAACTCCAGACAAGCTGATCTGCAGAAGGAAAGATACATCAGGGAATTTCCTAAGGTCTTAGGAATAATTTAATAGAGAGGGCTTCTGCCAGCCTGCATGGATGGATTGGTTGGATGGATGGATGGATGGATGGATGGATGGATGGATGGATGGATGGATGGATGGATGGATGGATGGATGGATGGATGGATGGATGGATGGATGGAGAGAGATGGATGGATGGATGGATGGGTGGAGAGAGATGGATGGATGGATGGATGGATGGATGGATGGATGGATGGATGGATGGATGGATAGAAGTCCACCAACTCCAGACAAGCTGAAGGAAAGATACATCAGGGAATTTCCTAAGGTCTTAGGAATAATTTAATAGGGAGTGACCATCTCTCTCTCTCTCTCTCTCCAAGAAAAGCTTTACTCCTTGTTCTACCAGCTTATGTCACAGCTCCTGTAATTTTCAACCCTATTTACGCAGCAGCAAAAAAAAGACCACTGACATTCTTCTACAGTTTCTCTGGTGAGATCACCCTGGATAGACCTGATTCCATTTGATTTGGGGGGGAACTAAGGAGGACTGACTGGGTAACTCAGTGGTTTAGGCACAGCCAGAGGGTTGGGAGTTTGATTCCCCCACTGGTGTAGTCGCAGGAGAAGAGCCAGCCTGGGTAGCCTTGGGCAAGGGGTGTAGTCCCAGGGCTCCCCCTAGAGGAAGGGAAGGGGGGAACCACTTCTGAGCACACCCTCTACTGGGGAAAACCCTGAAAAGGATCTGACTGTAAGTCAGAATGGACCTGATAGCCCATGGTAATTATGATTGAGACCTGACTTCCTGTTTGGATGAGAGAGCAGCAGAGGGCTTCTGCCAGCCTGCATGGCTGTTACTAAGCAGACCACGGGCCTTGATCCGCAAAAGCCCATCTGCCTCCATTCCTACATCGCCCAAGCGGCACTGCAAGGAATCCCCTCTTCCTTTCTGCAGTCATTCGCGTGTCCCACTCCAGGGAAGCTTCTCTCCCATTAGACCTCCCCTTACAGGGACGTGGTGGCGCTGTGGGCTAAACCGCAGAAACCTGTGCTGCAGGGTCAGAAGATCCGGCAGTCGTAAGATCGAATCCACGCGACAGAATGAGCACCCGTCGCCTGTCCCAGCTCCCGCCAACCTAGCGGTTCGAAAGCATGCAAATGCAAGTAGATAAATAGGGACCACCTCGGTGGGAAGGTAACAGCGTTCCGTGTCTAAGTTGCACTGGCCATGTGACCACGGAAGATTGTCTTCGGACAAACGCTGGCTCTATGGCTTGGAAACGGGGATGAGCACCGCCCCCTAGAGTCGAACACGACTGGACAAAAATTGTCAAGGGGAACCTTTACCTTTTACCTTTACCTTCCTTTGGAGGCCAACATGTTGGGCTCCAGCCCCTGTTTTTTGGAAGGAACCCATGAAATCCTCAGACGGTCGCCCATGGGTCCCTGCTGTGGCCACTTCGTCATGGTTCGTTTCGGTCCCAGAGGGCGCCACTTCGGAGGCCAGGGGGAGCTTTCGCAACCCTTTCCCTCTTCCTCCCCATCCAGCCAAGGTCCTCTTGTGATTCATTGCCTTCCTTAAAATAACCCCCAAGTGGGGCAGAGATCACCAGCCTTTAAGGTCAGGAAGAAAAGCGTCCTCAGCAGCCTTCAGCTGCATTTCGACACCCTCTCTTCTGCAAAAGGAAAGGAAAAGCTACCCGCCTTCCTCGGCTCTGCCTGACAGCCATGCTTCCTGTTGACGTGGGAAGATCTTCCCCCTGAATTAGTAGCAGCTGCTTGGTGCAATCAGGGCATCCTTTGGATACTCCAAAGACCCAACCTTACGGGACAGCTGATGGGATGTCCCAGTGCTTGGCGGGCCGCACACCGCCGAAAAGCGAGACCTCCATCACACACCAAAAAAAAGGAGAGGAATGGTCCCAGTTTGTATAGATTGCATATGATGGATTATATGGAGAGATGCCAAAAGAGACGTGGTTTTTTTTTAAATAACCTGAACAGAATTGCAGTGCACTGGGGAGGATGATGCTAGATGACTCGTGGGCCTGTGGTTGAGTCAGCTGTGCAGGTGATGCTCCCTGTAGATGATGGGCAACTTCCAGGTCCCACATCACTCCCTCCACCCAATGGACCTTAATCCGTGGACTGGATGTGGACTGGAGAGCTTTCTAATGGATTGCCACTGATGCACAAGGTGCAGGTTGCGTTTCTGGGCACGCGCCCGAGCCCAGGTGGGAACGTGGCTCCCGATAACCTCTTCTTGAAAACACTGGCTCTTCTCAAGAGGACATTTGCCAAACGCAGGCTGCTTGTAGGATGGCCATGTGTTCCTCTGCTAGGAAGGACAGTCTTTCGTTTCCTTGATGGATGGATTGGACAGACCAGAAACGAAGGACTGTCCTCCCTAGTTCTGGAAAATCAAGGAGCAAAAGAAGGAGAGATGTCCATCATCCACCTGGAGCATCATCTGGACAATTGCCTCAGCAAGCACGTGGCTCGCTTGGTTCCAGTCGTCCTCAATCGAGGGTGAGGCACTGTTTCAATGACAAAAAATAAGCTCTAATTATCCATCAGTTCTGATAAAGTAGCAGACGCTGTGTTATCCGGATCAGGGCCCCCTTCGGAGCGTGGTGCCTGGGGACACCCTTCCCGTTCGATCTGTCCAAATCCCGGTGAATTATTTCATGATCTCCTCCCTCTGAACCGACGCAGAAGCTTCGCTCCGCTGGGGCTCTGAGCCACAGACTTTAATTCGTGTCATCAAATTATGATGTTGCTTGCAATTACCTCGCAATCTCATTAACCGTCTAGTAATAAAACCGTAGGTGGATTATTTGTGGTATGATTACGATCGTACCAACGGAAGGGCCTGGAGTTTCCTGTGTGATAAACTCCAGGGTGCGAGAGTCATTAAACTCCCCCCAGGAACTGGAGAGAATTGATTGTATTACCTGCAGGAGAATTGGGAATAAACGGAAGGAGAAAGATACCTGCTTTGTTCTAGTTTCCTCATCCACCAGGTTGCTCCCCCAACAATTAAAAGAGGAAAAGAGCAAGACATGAGATTCCCCGTGTTTTCTGCTCCATCTGGACAGGTGCCCCTTATTTCTGTTCAATGCAATCTAAGATCCTACTTTCAGCCTTCGGTTTCCCAAATGACAAGAAAAACAACACAATTGTTCCTTGTTCCCAAAGGTAGCGTAGCAGGCAGAGGTCAGCGGGGTTAAGAGATAAGGCCAATGGATTTTCATGTTAGCACAGTGAGCTGCCTTTTAAAGGTGCATGGCCATCGTGCATTGAAAGGTTGGCAGCCACAGCGTCAGGGTGGTGGTTGAACCAGAGGGACTCATCCTGGCATTCCCTAGAGCCAGCACTCTGAAGAAAAGTCCGCCAACGCAGGCAGCTGTTTAGATCCATCTCAAGAAACCAATTCTCCATTGGGAGGGGGTCTTTTGTAGAGCTAACGGGTCTTAACTCCCCGTTTAGGATCAAGCCACCACAATGACTTTGGATTACAACAGGGCTTGTTGGCAAAGGGAGCCGTCAATCTACACTCATTTGAAGGCATATCTATGCGAGTTGCTAATTATTTTGCTCGGTTTCTTGTCTTTTCTTTCTCTTTTCCTCCCCTCTCCTTCAAGATCCGTGCCTACATTGGTGGCATCAACCCAGACCACAGAGAGGAGGAGGACATGATGGCCTTCCGCTTGAGTGCGTTCAACCCCATATTGGACCCCTGGCTCTTCATTATCTTCCGTAATACGGTCTTCCGCAGCCTGAAAAACTTCTTCTGCTTCCACACCTGGTGGCCCTGTTGGCCCCGGACACAGAAAGTCTCGGCCGCGTTTGGTATGCGAGACAGCCTCCCTTTCCAAGATCAGTCGGCCTGCTGAAAGCAAGAGAGGCCTGGATGCACGCGGCTAGGGCAAGCACCCCTTGGCCTGGGTAGGTGGAAAGGGGCATCCCCATATCGAGGTGGTCTTTTGTAAAGCTAACGGGTCTTAACTCCCCATTTAGGATGGTTTCGTGGAGGAAATGGGGAAAGGAGGAAGAGAAAGAAGAGGAATGACCAACCTTCCATTCCTGCCCGCCATCTCAGGAAAGATCCAAGAACTTCTGGTGGGAGTCAATGGGAAAGCAGCACTTTTTTGGGGGGGGGGCACCACAAGCTGAGCTGTGATGGTTGACTCCAGGAGGAAATATTCCCACTGAACACTTTGCGTGATGTTTTGTTCTCTAGAGAGAGAATGCATGACACCCCACCCCACCCCAAGAAGGAGACGGAAGGCCAGGTTTAAAGGGGATCTCCAATTCAGCCACCAAAAGAGAGAACAGAGAAAGAGGATATAGAAGAACAGGGAGAATTTTTTTTTAAATGGGATTGATTGATGTAGTTCCTGAAAGGATGCATGTCTCCTGCATGGCCAGCCATTGCCTGCATTTTCCCCCCTTTAAGGCCCAGATCAAGCTAACATTTAATCAGGAGCTCTCCGGGGTCCTGAATCTGCTTTGGAGAGCCCCCCATAAAGTTCAGAGTACAAAACAAAGTGGATTCACTCCCCGGGACCGCAGTTGCATCGAAGTTCCCAAGTCTTCATTTAGCCACTTCACGCTTCTAGTATCAATGAATGTCAAGCACACCGGGTGTGAAGAGTTGCTGTGAACCTTTGAAATGCTAGAAATAAAAGTTCATATCAGACTTGTGTGGCTGTACCATAAACACACACAGACATCATATGCAGTGTGCCTTTTCCATTTTTAAAAAATATGTGTACCGATGGATTTTGGTGTTACATAGGCTACTTCTAAGGAAGTTTGAAGAGGCTTTGTTTTCCCCTTGTGAACGTACATGGTCAATTGTTTTGTTCTGATGAAACACATGCAGCAGGTTTTTGAAACAACACAGAAGCCTGTTCCACTTGTTTACCAGAGAAATGGGAGTTGCTTCCAGGTTTTTATTGTCCTGTCACCCTGTCTCATACCTGGAATTTTTCAGGAGGCCCTGGAGAACTTTCCATTTCTTACCACCATCATTTCTTAAAGAAACCTATTAAGCAAAAATAGATGGAATAAGCATATAATATGTTCCAACTGAAAGAGTCCTCTCGGGGGGGGGGAGAAGGAACACACCCAAAAATTGGCTTCTTGAACAGTGAGTGACAAATCTGCTTTTTCAAGCCACCTTGAGCTCTCTGAGGAAAACCTGCTGCCCGTTTCATGGACTTGACGCCGATTTAGCCTTTGTTGAAAAGAAAATCCCCTTGATAGGCTTTCCATGTGTAAAGGTAAGCTTGGTGCAAATTGCGGGGAGAGCGAAGCCTTCTGTACTGCAGCAAAGACAGGACGGGATCTCGCGTCTCACTTTTATCCTCGTTGCAGCACTTTGTAATGATGTAAACCTCCATCGTTGACGCATTGCTTTCCACTTTAAATGCTGCCTTCCAAGGATATAAGCAGCCTTGGGTTCTTTTTAAGGAGAAAGGCGGGTTAGAAATATTTTAAAGAAATAAATAAGGATGGGTAGTTGAAGCCATCCAGATGTTTTTGGAATTAATCTCCCATCCGTCATAGCCAGCGCTCAGAGCTGTTACGTTTGTTTGTTTTTTACTACAAGTCCCCAAATCCCCCAGCCACTTCTCGGTTCCTGTCCTTGCCAGCATAACCCAAGTGGGTAAGGGATCATAGGAATTTCATTCATTCATTCATTAATTCAATTCATTCATTCATTCATTCATGCAATGCACTGTTCTGGGCAGTCTACAGCAAGATTGAAAAGAAACAGGCCATTAAGTTAATAGGAAGCATACACAAGGAAAGCGTTGGCTAAGTGATACATTGGTAAACTGTTGTAGAGAAATATATATATATAAAGTAAGCAAATTATTTCCCACCAGCCTAACAGTTCGAAAGCATGCAAAATGCGAGTAGATAAATAGGTACCCCCACAGTGGGAAGGTCATGGCGTTCCGTGTCTAGTAGCACTGGCCACGTGACCACGGAAGTTGGTCTTTGGACAAATGCTACCTCTACGGCTTCGAAACGGGGACGAGCACCGCCACCGAGAGTGGGACACAACTGGACAAAGTGTCAAGGGGAACCTTTACCTTTAAGCAAATGATTGCTAAGCATTTAAAAAGAAAAAAGTTTAAAGCCTATAAGTGCAGTGGCCATAGTGTCCCCCCCCCCATCAACCCGTTCATAAAGTATATAAATCGACGGCAATGTTCACATGCACCGAGCAATACGGATTGAAGTGATACAGGAACTGGATTGTAATTTGAAATGAATGGCGAGGCATAAATACCTGGAGGGCCACAGTGGCTGACTCCGTCGTAAACCTCCTCCTTGTGCCTCCCCTTATGAAGACGCCGGGGTTACACGATGCCTTCTCAACTGGGCACCTGCAGTTCATGTTCTCTCTCTCTCTCCCTCTTCCCTTTTCCTCCCACCTGGTAACATGGCAGCCCACTCACCATATGCTCCAGAAGAGAAAAGGTCCAGAATAAATATTTCCATCCCTGACTAATCCCCACACATGTCCATCCACCGCTCTCCCCCCATTTGCCCCTTGACGTCCTAATCCACTCCTGTCTAAATATTTGGAAGTGAAGTCCCAAGAGGGACAAAAGGACGGGCACGAAGCGGCTGCTGGTGGGGAAGGCGGCTGAATCCTGGCCTCGGCCCTTGGGGCCCATCCTGAGGCAGGAGGAAAACGGAACGGGGGGGTGGTCTTTTATTATATATATCTATAGGCCTCATTTTCGTTTCTTTTCCCACTCCAGTTCCCCAGAATCTGCCAGCATGTGAGTGGGGGGGGGGATTGGGGAGTTCCTAGTCCAAAACCATTACAGCCACTGCCCTTTGGGGGGGGGCAAAGTCATTAACGGAGGGCAAAACCAAAATGAAGAGCAGATAGAAAGGATCCGCCTCGCCTTGGCTTGCCTGCCTCCATCGCTCTTCCTTCCTGTTGTCTCCTTAGGGCAGGAGGGGGCAGCTTCGAAGGGACTGGGGGCCACCAGTCCTAAAAAAATAAGCGAAATGCCTAGAAAGACCAAACTGAGTGACGCTGGAAGTCCACAGCGTTCTTCCGGGTGTGAGGCAACCTGATGGGTTTTTTGGGGGGTGGGGCAAAATCACCACCTCGAAGCCTTCCAGCCATCAAAAATAATGTGATTTTCTTCCTACTTTCCACCCCTCCTGACTGGAAGATGTTTACAGCTTCAAAAGCCGCCTCAGTGGGTGCCACGTTTGGGCTGGATGTGGCCCCCACCTTGTGAAAACTAGCCAAAGGAAGGTGGCCTTGGAACAAAAGAGGCCGTTGTGGCAAATTGGGCAGAACGGAGCCCACCTTAAGAAGCTGTGGGGCGAAACCGAAGTAACCCAATTACACCCTCTTTGTCTGGCCCAAGAGTGGAACCACAGGGACGTTAGGCTGGCTACTATTTGGGTACCCTTGAGCCGGTTGAATAAAATACCACAAACACTAGTATCAAGTCCTTCTGAGAGATCCTGGAAGATCCGCCTGGCTGAAATGGATCTGGGAAACCTCTCTGCTTCTAGAACATCTGAAATCTGTCCAGCCAGCTACAGGCCACTGGTGGTCAGGCATGGAGAGGGGGGGGTCACAGCAGCCCAGAGAGAGAGAGAGAGGCAAGATTTGATCCTAAGGAATGGCACGAAGCTGAAAATAGCTTCTGTGCCTGGTCCTCCTGCAGCCAAAGGCTGAATCATTGCAGACTTCTTTGATGGCCCGGGGCACCAAGCCATTGCATCCCACTTCTAAAAGCTTTTTGCTGTGAGCACTAACAGGTTAAAAGCTCCTCCGGGAACTGAGACACCAGATCATCTTTACATACAGCAGCCGGGATTCAGAACATCCAGCTGCTGCTTCCAAACGACACCAGAGCAGGAAATGGCTTTGGACTGAACGGCAAGGAGAGACAGCTGGCAAGGGAGTGATAAAAGCATCTTAAATGTGTGTGTGTCTCTCTCTCTGTGTGTGTGGGTGTATCTAGCAGCAGAAAGAATGCAAGAACTAGGAGTGATGCTCAGAGACAACGCTGTGTTCCCAGTTTCCTGTAGTTGATTGTGACGCTTTATGCAGGTGCTGGACAGACGACGGATCGTCCCAATGAAAGCAAAGTCCATATAGGAATAAATTTGGCTCCTTCATGGGCCCCCAAAAAAGGAACATCCATTTTCAAATATGACCCTCCAGGTCACCTGGACTCCCCAGAAGTGACTGGGAAACTCATTAGTTTAAAAGCATCTTGACAAAACTTCCCCATTTCTTGGGATAAAGTGTTGGAATTTGGACGGCCATGTCTTCTGATGGGGGCATTTTGATGCCTTCTGGGGGCGTTTTGATGCCTGCAAAGACTCGTGTTTTGGGAGGATGTGTCTCAAAACCTTCCCAGACCGCGTGGGAAGATTCTGTAGGTTTTTGCGCAAAAAAGGTAACTTCTCTGTGGGAGGAACAGCCACTTGCCAAAGGCCCTTAGGCTGGACATTGCACTTTTGATGCTTTTCCACCTGAGGGCTTCTCAATGAGCTTCCAGGATGGCATATGGGGAAGCCACCAGAGACCAGTGCAATAAGACACCTGGAGTTTTTGGACCACAATTCCCGGAATTCCACAGACTGCAAAGCAAAGGGTACACATGCAATAGATCTAGGGGCCGCCTCAATCCTAGGCTCCTAAAAGATTCCTCAAGTGGGCAATTTGCTCCTCGCTTCCTCTGATAAGGTCCCACGAAGTCTAAGGGGAGACCACCAGTCTACATCCTGCTCTAGTTACGGGCAGGACTAGACCTACCATCGGGCAGAGTGTGTTCTTTCTTTGCATTTGAACATTGTTGCAAAAAAGGCCGTGATCCTCCGTGATCAATGGTCTGCAGGAAGCGAGGAGCGCTTCCTCTTTTCCCCGTTGTCTTCCAAGAAGCTGTGGGCTGACAGCTTGAGCAACCAGCCTCGTTTGCAACAGCCCTCGATGTAAGACGGGGGCCAAAGGAAACATACAGAGCAGCTGTAAACTACCCAGTTACCCAAGAGCGTCTGTCAGCACCAGAACCTCCTGCAGCCTGCCGGAGGGAGGGGTTTGGATTGCCTCGTCCTCCTCATTGGGGGTGACCAGGTGCCTACCTTTAGGGAGGGCGGTCCTCCACTGGAAAGATTGTTAGAGCACAATCCTCGTTTCAAAGTCTCCTACATTGGCAGGAATGTGTGTCGCTCTGCATGAATCTGAAAGCTTAATTCTATCAAAATTGAGGAGGGTGGCTGTTTTAATCAATGAACCCCTAGAGAGTTACTTTTTGCCTGTCAGTGGCCGGAGACGGATGGTCGGACTCTTCCCCACCCTTCACCCTTCTGCTGCGGCTTCTGCTGAGTGTTATCGGCTTGTTCTTTGAAGCAGTAAAGAAACCCACAGAGGGAGAGGAAATGACAGTGCTGCTTTCAAAACCTGTGTCTTTATTAAAGCCTGTTCGAAAATAAAAACATATTCATTATTAAATTAAATAAAACATTATTGAAACATGCTCAAAATTTTTTTCCATGGGGAGTCAAAACACTCTGTTACTAAGCCTGCCTTGCTTTTCTTTCCAGGAGAAACAAAGAGGGAAGAGGATGATGGACTGTGTAATAGGAAGGGGCCCAACGAAGCCAAGGCGAAATCTGCTAGCACCCTTCGTACCATAAAAT